AAAAAAAAAAAAAAAAAAAAAAAAAAAAAAAAAAAAGCAGTAATTTACTTCCTTATTTCCACAGTCCTCCTATTCATAAGATAACTGGGGGAAAAAAGAAACCTACCTAAAGGAACCGCCATTTATACTGATCTCACTATCTCAGTTAAGAACTAGCAGAACAGAGTCGGGACATCAACATCTTTCTGCACTTGATGTGGTCTCTATTTCAAAACCATCTGTATGCTTCCCACTGAGGCATACTGATGTATTTCTCTTCCTCTCATACACAGGGAGCTCTAGCTTCCACTGTTGACTCAAACATCCAGTGTTATAGAAATAGATTTTTATTAAAAGGTAGAGACCTAAACATGTACTACCTATCCACACTTTGTTTCTTCAGCATTTGGCTGCTGTTCCTTGAAAACACTTCCAGCTCATCAGATGCACAAAAAAGATGATTTGAAAAGTTTCAAAGATGTTGTTAAAATGAAATGAAGCCCACGAGTCGGGAGCATGCACATCAAGAGCACTAAAACCAGCTCACAGATGATGACTAACACTGGTGGCTAGCCAAAGGCATTGATAGTGATAGATCATTTCCAAATGGACTTGTTTCACTGTCAAAAAGATAATTTTGTTCTTGTTGGCAGTGTTTCTTCTGTTTCTTGGAATTAATATCAGAGACATTCTGCATCTGGATAATGATATCTGATCTACAGGGGCACAGCCAGAAACTGCTTTTCTACCAATGGAAGATTTCAAGTTATCTCCATCCATTTCATCCATTCATCAACTTAGTTATCACCAAGGTTGGGGATGTTGTTGGTCTTTTTCTTTTCCCCATATTTGGGGGTTAAGTGCAGCATTTATGGAAGCTTGTTTTGTTTTCTTCATTTGGTTTTAGCTTTTTACAAGATTTTTTATAAGATTTATAACTTAGTGTCAGTCTTTCTTTGACAGAATTGAATATAGCTGTTTTTTTCATTCAAGTCTGACTACAGGCAGTTGAGGTTAATCCCCCTGCAACCTGAGAGAAATATTCCATCGACTCCGTAGATTTAAGGTCAAGCCCACTTTACATATTATTTTAATGGTGTAATACTAAGCTAACACAGATGTACCCATAATTTAGAATTACATTTTAAGCAAGGTAAACTGTCCAGTAGTTTACAATTGGTTCTGCTAGAACAGAGTCAAAATGGGAATAAGATTGCAAAATCCTGCATTCAAATTTTCTGAAAGTAGAAGTTTACAGTGTTACCAGCTCCCAAAATGTTGAAAGTGGGCTTTATTTGCTTTGCTGTTTTCAACCCCTTAGATATTCAAGAGCAAAACTGCTCTGTAAAAAGATCAAGATGATCAAGGTGTGATATAGATATTGATAAGGAGATCATTCAGCTCAGTACCTCATCTATTCCATACTGACCTGAACACTCCTTAACAAGCTAACCCAAGAAGTTCAGGTCACAGACTACGGGTAGATGTTCAGAATGACACGTAACAGGGAACATGCTACTGAACGCACATTTCAGAACTTCAGCAGCTGCTTTAACTTACATGCAACTAGCCAGCCAGTAACCCACATAAAACATGGCTATATAAAGGAGGAGGTGCCACTGCCAGAACTGATTCGAGGCTTATACTTGTAACAGATTTATACTAAGTTCCATATTCAAGCTTCATGCCTGTTTAGTTTTCATGTGGCTCTACAAAGTGTGACTACCACTATCACAAAATGCTAAAGCATTCCCACAGCTTCCACAAAACGTCACCTTATGATTGGCAATTTGTTAGTGAAAAAGATAATGAGAAGATACCATACTGAGGCACTTCACTCACTGGTGACAGCTGTGCCACTCCCAGGAATAACGAGGTCTGCTTGGTAGGAAATCTGAAGTTCCTTGGTTTTTCACTCTCTGAGGGAATCTCAAGAGCACTCGATTATCATAGTCTCTAACATCCGCTCGATAAGCTGAACTATAATAATGCAGGAAGAGAAAGAAAGAAAAAGAGCCATCAACTTCAAAATACTTTGGATTGTTTCAGAGGTAACTGAATGGTATAGATCTTTTAAGCCTCCTTAAAGCTTGTGCACAAGAACTCCACATGGTGTGCTCAGAAGTTCCCCCTGCTATCAGACAAAGAACCAGGGGAGATTCAGGCCTGCCTCTAATCCTGTGAACACGAGTCTGGTGACCAACTCTGGCTCTTTAGCGCTTCAGGTCTTTAGCAAGATCACTGCTTGGCTGTGAAAGTGCCAGAGTACCAAGAGCACAGTCTGATTGCTGCTGACTGAGACAACGTGCTGTGAATGTAAGATCACAGAACAGATACTTGATTCTGTTGTAAAAAAAAAAAAAAGAAAAAGAAAAAAAATAATTACTGAGCACATGCCCTGTGCTTATCCTATTTTACACAGCTGTGACATATGTAGTTTGTTTTTAATATTGGAATACTGTAACCAGTTTGCTAGTCAAGAACATTTCAAGTAGTCTTCATTGTGAAGTGAGCATGAAAAATACTGGTTCCGACTATACCATGTTCTTTTTCAGCAACTGAAGAAAGAGCACGGCCATGGAAACAGTCCTGACATCAGTTAATGATGCTGATGAATAAATAAATCTGTTCTGCACGATAAGGCATGAAACCAGTTAAACAGTTACAGCCAGCCGTCTTGGTTTTGCTCCAAACAAAACAGGAAAATCCCTCACTGCCAAGCGTGGAGGGGGCCCGGCTTGGTCAGCAAAGCTGTTATCTGCGACCCTTAAAGGGCTTGGGGATACTTTTCAAAGAGATTCTAGTCTTAAAACCCGATAGATGGGCACGGGAACAATCAGCGTGTTCTGACGTGGGCAGAAGCTGGTGCTGGTTAGGAATGAGCCTGCAGGAGCGGAGCAGCGCGGCTGGGCGCTGGAAGCAGCTGATGCTCAGACCCGGGGAGTTCGCAATTGCCCCCGCCCTGCACAGCTGGGCGTTATGGCAGAGCAATAAGGATGACCCGGCCGCTCCGCTCCGCTCCGCCCCGTCCGCACTGCGCTCCCTACCTGGCCAGGCAGTTCTCCTCGGCGGCGCAGCGCAGGTTGTACATGGACATCCTCTGCACGTAGGTGGACGCCTGGATGTAATAGGGGTCCGGCACGAGGTCGGGCAGACCTGCAGTTCGTTAGAGAACCACAGCGCAGCGGTCAGCCGGGACACCGCGCGGCTCAGCCCCGCCGACCGCCGCCTCCCCCGGCCCGACCCCAACCCCCCCCCCCTCCGCGGTGGCAGAAGGGCGCGGGTTCTTACCGTACTGGAAGTAGCCGGTGCCGTACCCGGGCCGGTACCTGCTGCCCTGGCGCGGCCGCTCGTAGGTGTCGTAGTAGTTGTAGTAGGGGTTATCGTCCGTGTACTTGTAGGGGCTGTAGGGGTCGTCGCCCACCATCACGTCCTCCCGCCCGGCTCGCAGACCGCTGGGCGCGGGCAGCCCGCCGGCGCTCCGCTCACTCTCGTCGCCGGGGCCGCCGGACCGCGGGGCTGCCGAGGAAGGACTGGCGGCGCCGCGGCTGCCGGAGGGCGCCCGATAGCCGGCCTGGAACCAATGTCGGGCGCCCGAGCCGCGGCTGCCGCCGGGCTGGGGCCGGGGCTGAGGCTGGGGTTGGGGCTGGGACTCGGGCTGGGGCTGGGCGGCGTTGGCCAGCGGCACAGAGCCGTTCCCGCGGAGCAGCAGCACGGGGCTGCTCGCCGGCTCGGCCGCCTGCCGGCGCCGCGGGGGCTGGTACTGAGCGCCCTGGCTGAGCAGGCTGTACACCTGTCCGTTGTTCTCCCACTGGATGCGCTGCCTCCATGCGGCGGGGGGCGGCTGGCAGCCGGCGGGCCACAGCCCGCTCCAGAAGATGCAGGCGTGCAGCTGGGCGAGCAGCAGCCCCGGCGGCGCGCAGCGCATCTTCTCGTCTGTCCGGGGCCCGCGGGCGGGGAGAGAACCGGGCGAGGACGGGGGGGAGTTGGAGGGGGCGGCGAGCGCGGGGCGGCCGAGCGGAGCGAAGTGCGGGGCTCAGGCGCGGCGGCAGCCGGGCGGTGCCATCGGGCAGCTCGGACCGGCGGCGGGGAACCGGCCCGTGAGTGGCTGTCCTTCTCCGCGGTATTTATAGGCGAAGTGTGCGAAGCGGCGCGGCGGCGAGCAGTCCGCCTCTAGCCGTCCCGCTCGGGCGTCTGCAGCGAGGAAGGAGGAGCAGCGGCGGAGCAGGGACTTTAAACTCGCTGGCACGCTCGCAAAGTTACACAAGCCCCGCTGGCTGCGCCCCCGCTATTCGTGCACGTAATGCGGCTGAAACGTGCGGCCCCGACGGTTCCCCACCGCCGCCCCCCGCCCGCGCGGGGGCGGCCGCAGGGAGACGGGGCAGGGGTGGCCGCGGGGCCCCGGGCGGAGCCGGGCCGGGCCGGGCCTGCGGCGGGCGAGCGCGCCCAGACACACGTAGGCTGCCAGGCGCGGGGCGCGCCAGAGTATGCCGTGCGGCAGAGCCAAAATATGCAAAGGAAGAATGCTATTAGCTCATCAGCGCTGCGAGACGGAGCGGGGCGGCGGGAGGGGGAAGGGGCCGCGAGCGAGAGAGGAAACATATTTCTGAAAAATGTGCTGCTGGGGAGCGGGGCTGGGGACCTCCATCCCGGGTCTTCTCCTCCGCGCCCCGTAACGACCCCTTAATTAGTAAAAAGCCCTCATCAGATAAACCTTCGACTGCGAACTTCGTTTTCTGCGTGAGAGTCACACGAGAAATATTGCAGGCGCCGCTCCTCCCGAGCGGGTTCCCATTGAAAAGCGAAATTTCTCCTGGGAGAGACCCAGCGCAGAGAGCCCTCGGCGCAGCGCGGCCCGGCGAGGCAGCGGTCCGTGCGGAGGTACATCCCGAGGTGACCCCGCACAGCACAGCCTGCCTGGTAGATCTTGGTGCTCCCCGGGTTGGGAGGCTGCTGTGAGCAGGTGCCCGCCTTGAGTCAGCTCTCCCGCGCGCTGTCTCGCTGCATTTTGTTTCATTTGCATGTTGCTTCAAGTGGTTCCCAGGCTGTGGCTGAAATCCTGCCAAATGTCGCCCTGCGCCACAGTGGTGAGGGGCCGTGAGGGCTCGTGTGTCCATTTAGTAATAGCAGCAGCTCCTGGCTTCCCAATTGCTCTCCACAGCCCATGAAGTGTGTGGAGCGCATCCTGGGCACTGCCCTCATCGCAGCAGGCTGGCATTGTCCATAGGGCCAGGCAGCTGCCCCACTGCTGATACCAGGAATCCAGTGCTGCAGGCAAGCAGGCAGTCATATGCACAGCTCCTTCCTTGCAGTCACACAGGTAGCCTGCAGGGTGGGATTCTCTATGAAATCAGTGGTCAGCTGTCTGGAGGACACCAGGAAGCAGTAAGCTGGTACTTGTAAAAAGAGGAAGTCTTCTTAAAGCTTGCAGGCTTTGGCCCAAGAAAGCCTAATGTTTGACAAGACAACACAAGGTCCTGCACTTTGTTTGGGACAATCCTGGGTATGTGTACAGGCTAGAAAAAGAAGTCCTTGAGAGCAGCCTTGGACTCCTGGTGGGTGGGAAGCTGGGCATGAGCTGGCAGTGTGCTCACAGCCCGGATGGCTGGCTGTAGCTTGGGCTGCATCAACGGGGGGGTGGCAGCAGGGCAGGACTGTCCCCCTCTGCTCTGCCCTGTGAGGTCTCTCTGCTCCCGGGCATGCAGAACTGTTGGAGCAGGCCCAGAGGAGGTCCATGAAGATGATCAGAGGGCTGAGCACCTCTCCAACAAAGAAATGCTGTGAGAGGTGGGCTTCTTCAGCCTAGAAGGCTTTGGAGTGACCTCACTGCATCTTTCCAGTACCTAAAGAGAGATTATAAGCAAGAAGGGGACAGACTTTTTAGAAGGCCAATTAGTAGTAGGACATTTGGGTAGGACAGGGTAGTTGCTTTAAATTTAAAAAGGGAAGATTGAAGCTTGATATTAGGAGAAGGTGGTAAGGCCCTGGCACAGTTGCTGTGGATGCCCCATCGCTGGAGACGCCAAGGTTGGATGGGGTTCTGGGAAGCCTGATCTGGTGTGTGGCAACCAGCCCATGGCATGGGGGGGTGGAACTGAATGGGCTTTAAGGTCCCCTCCAACCCAAACCATTCAGTGATTCTGTGATTCTTGCTTGGAGTACCTCAGCACCCAACTGAGTGTTGGTTCTCACTGCTGGACAGCACTGGGCTGGTGGGGAGCATCCCCAGGTGCAGATCCTATGCCACAGCCAGCTGCTGATGTTTCTCCACATGTGGGATGTGTCTGACAGTCCATATTGGGCTCAGCTGAGAAGCTTACTGGGCTAAGTTGGATTTTCTTATTCATCACAATTTGCAGACCGTTTGTCCCCTCAGATCATTCTTGTTGTGGTTTTGATAGTATTCTTCTCTGCTTAAGGTTTTGCCTGGAACAGTCAGTGACTAAGAATGAGTAAAACGGAAAGGTTGAAGACAGGGAAAATACAACACTGAAGAAATGAGACCTCTGCCTTTCTAATCTTCCTCTAAATCTTACTGATGTTACAAACAGCAGGTTGTTTCCCAGTGTGTGATATTAGAAAATGTTTCCACGCTGTGGTATTCTAGCCATCTCTTTTTTTTTTTCTTTTTTTTTTTTTTCCCTCTTTTTTCTTTGCCCGATTAAGTAATTATTTTTCATGAAACTGGATACAGGAATGCAGTGGAGTTAATGGTAGTCCTGCCCATTTATCAGCCATTCACACTGTTTGCCATTTTTTTCCCACTACCATTATTTGCTAAGAAATCTGTTTTATAAATCACAAACAGCACTGGAGAGTCTCAACCTTCATGCTCATGGCCATTCAGCAACTGTCCTCTCCCCACAGGTTGCCTAGCTTTTTTACCTTGGTCCCTTTTTCACCTTGGTAAAGCCCACCAGCAGCTGTGATCAGATGTAGCATGGTGAAAATCTCTTGATAAGACCTTAAAATTCTTATAAACAAGACAGATGAAGCGATTGCTTTAGAAAATGCCCTAAAAATGGCAAGTCCTTGGCCACTAAGCTTTCTCATGAGTTTAATGCAGCTGCTTTGTAAAGACCAGTTCTAATGCTGGCTTGCATTTCTCTTAATGACTTAAGCATTTGCCTGCTTATTTCAGCTAGTGTGACTGGAATGCCTTGGTGCATCTTGCCCTGGGGATTTTTATTTCTGCCACCCACAGAAATAAAGAGAGTATTTATAACTGAGAAATTTAATTCACCCTCCCCAGAGAATTAGACTAATAGGAGCAGATAATAGTATGCAAACCCAAGTAACTTCTTAAAAACTAAGATTAGGATGTGATCTATGTTTAAACTTAATCAGTAAGTCATTGCACTCCACATTCAAAGGTTAGAAGTGGAAAAATGTTCTTAGTGAATGTGTGATATTGGAGCTCTCCTTACATACACAGCATTGTTGAATAGCAGTTGTGAATCTCAGACAACACTTGTACTTTAAAAGAATTGCCTCAAAGCCACCTGGATTTGTCATGTCTTAGCACATGTCCTAAGAAAGAGATTTTAATGTTCTTTTGTGCTTACTTTGTTCAGTGTGCTGATGAAAGCAGTCCGGGGTGATTTAAATGCACAGCTAGCTTACAACAGTTACACTATGTTTAATTTTGTTTCTAAAAGATTATCGACTAATTTGTGAATTTGTCTAATGTAAAATTGGGTTTTTACCTACACGCACATGTGTGAAGCAGGAAATACAAATTCTTGTATAGAATCTTGATGTAAGACTAGACAACCTTAAAATACATTAAGTGTATTTTCTCGAGGCTGGTTTTATTTGTTATTGAATGGTTGGTTGCTGAGGAGTTACTATGAGGAAAGGCTTGAAGAGTGGTGGCTGCCTTCAGCTTCCCGTATTTGAGAAGAATTTACTTTACTCATCTGTGAGTTATGCTTGAGTAGGCAAAGTACTTACTGTGTTTTTTTTCTGTCTGCATAAGCAATGAATTGCAAATAGATTGTTCAGACTTACCTTGTTTTACATACCTTATTGATCCTATTTTATAACTTTGTCACTTTTGTGTTCAAGTATTCAAAACTGGGCATTTTTGTTGCACATCAGAACACTGGATTTCCCTTAATCCCGTTTGTCAGCAGGTCCAAGAAGCTTTATTTAGAAATTCATTGTTAGTGCACTGCGGGAAAGTTGCTAATGGTGAGGAGTGCCCCTTAATAGCTTGAAATATTAGGGTAAGATATTCTTCACAGTACATGACCTTAGCTGAAAACTTAAGGACACTCAGATTCAGCTTTGTGATGAGATTTTTTTAACAAACAATTTAATTAGAGACCAGGATCATAGAATTCCCCTGACATCAGTAGGCTTTGGAGAAGACTCTATAGGAATTTGCTTTTTACAAAACCTAATTTTCTAGTTAAATTTAGCTGCTATTTGATTTTGAAGTCTCTCATCAGGTAGCTTCCTATGACCACAAGTAAAATGAAAAGGTAAACTTTCAGACTTTTTCTGCCCTGAATTTATAAGGGAACGCGTGTATTTTTCTGACTCTAATGATCTTGTTCATTTGTCAAATGAGAAGAAAGTGTAGAATTTTGCTTGTAGGTGGTCTCCTCAATTCAAATTAGAAGACAGATTGTCACCTAGATCCTGTCTAATATTTAGGGACAATTTTTTTGTATGACAAAACTTGTATTAGAGTTTTTATACATTGCACAGACCCATTAAATTGCAAATACTTCCACTGTATAAAATTAAACACAATTGTGAATCTCTGCAGAATCAGACAGAATCATCAGGAAAAACCATTATAGCAGCTGAGGTGAGTCTTGGTCCCTCCTGCTGTGAGACTTGAAGATGAACGCCTTCTTACATCAGCACACTTTTTGTCATCCTGAGGTTTTGCAGTGAAGTTATAATAGCAGTGTTTCAAAAGTTTTGACTGTCGATGTGCTGTTAGAATGG